TTCCTCAAAACCTGTCCAGACTCACTAATAATTATACCCTATGACCTCTTATAACAATAATAACCAAATATCATAATAGTATTATAATAGGCTAAACTCATAAGCCCGTGGCTAAATCTCTCATATCGGGTATTTTTCGGGTAATAGGGTTTATAACCCTTATCAACCAAACTCAATATCTAATCATGAGATTTTCTCACTAGTCTCACCAACGAGTTCATAATAGCTCCATATCACAAATACCCGTAACCCTTACACGGGTCTAATATATCTAATAATAATCATATATCACAAATACTAATTAACGGGGTAAAATATACCACAACAGATCTCGTATCTCGGCCCGTATCCCCCATATGACGGTATAACATCTCCGATATAGACTCCCGGGAACGGCTCCCGAGCAACATCTCCCCTCCCGCGAACCAAAATCCTCCAAAATAACACAAAGGACTCGTTTTTATAGTCTCAGCTTGCTCACGTCGTGAACATTTACTTCTCACGCCGTGAGAAGTGTTTAGACCGGTTTCTGCCACGTGTCCTGCTCTTTCGCCACGTGTTTTGGTCGATTCATGTTGCTCACGTCGTGAGACAACATTCCTCACAACGTGAGAGTCATAGGTTTGACCGTTAACTTGACTTTCGTTGACTTTCTCAATATAGCAGCGTACTTACATCAAATCTTCAAACGATCATAACTTTCTCATACGAACTCCGTTTTTGATGAACTTTATATCCACGGAATCCTCTCAACGAGCTCTATAACATTATTTAGTTATATTTTGTTGAATATCATTTCTAAAAATAAAGTAGCTCAATGCTTTATCTTATTTACTCAACTCATAATATCTATATCTCATGAAGTAACACCTGTTATGAAAAATCGGGTGTTACTGTACTTCCCCCTTCAAAAGATTTCATCCTCAGAATCTCTTGAAATCTCGTGCTACTAATCTAGGGTAAGCTAACTCTTCTCACAATATATATCTCATTTTATTCTCTCGCTTTACTCTTATCTCATATAATCTCACTCTTGTTCTCATATGATCTCAAGTTTTCTCATTTTATCTCATACTCATTCAAGGATCATATTTTATTCATCTCATCCTTTTACTCCTTTACAAATTCTCATCAAAATTATTATATAACTCTTATGTCGCATATCCTTTGTAAGTTTAAACAACTTACATAGTTTCTCTTATATCTAGACACTTCATGTGTCTTTAATTTATATTTCTTACATATAACTTTGCACTGGCAATCGACTATAATTGGTAGGGAAAAAGGCCCCGACAATTACAAATCGATACTTATTATTATTATTATTATTATTATTATTATTATTCCCAAATATTAAAATCAATCTCCCCTATTACTCAGATCGGTGATTAATAACTCATATCAATAATAATTGTTCAATACTAATATTCAAAATGTTTCTCTATTACTCGTCTCGTATCTTATATTTATCTAAACTCATTATCATAACTCAAACCAACATTTCTCTTAGTCTTCCTTAATAATCATTCGACACTTGACTTATGACTCATCCTGAAGTCACAAGTGTAAATACTCATAGCAATTATCATCATTAAATATAAACTAGACACTTCGCAAGTCAACCTTATTATAAGTTATATTTCGAATATGACCATTCGTTCACAAATCACTCAAATTAATTTCAATCTCATTAATCTCTACGATACCCACAATGTGATTAATTTACTCAAATATCCACAACTACTCAGATTACTCAAATCAACCACTCAATTTACTCAGGTCAATTTTTTTAATAAATTTCTCGAATTACTCAAATTATTGATTAATTAATCACTTTACTCTGATCAATCGAGTTAGTCACTTATATTATTATCTACTCATGTTAATTACTCTACTCAATATCAACCACTTTGATTAAAATCAATTACTCTGGTCATTCACTCTGATCATTATCAATTACCAAAGTTAATATCAATCGTTCAAATTAATCACTCGGATTTGAGTATATCATGAAGTTGTGACTTCAGATCTAGGCACGCATGAGCTTATGAGGCTTAAACTCGAAAATGATGCAAGGCCATCCTTTCATTCCGTTTCTCTAGATTTTATTTTCGACACAAAGGCAAATATCACTTGTAGTTTTACGGAAATACCCTAAAACTTTGCCACTTTGGTAGGCAGAGGATGGCATTATTACCTCTAGGTGATTTTTTTTCCTTTTTTTTCTTTTTTTCTTTTTATCACACTATGTCACCATCTGTTCTCATACTTAGAAGTCGCGTTGACTCGGATCCCTGTCAAGCTCAAGCTCTGTTTTGTTTCCAACATCTTCGTATCATAAATCCATCCATCTCCTCTTCCTGTCCATTTTTATGTCGATTTCAGATTAAGCCACAAGAAATGGCTTTTTTGAAAGATCCTAATATTTCCCAATCCATCTCCACACTAGCTAATCTGGTAATATCTGTGACATCCCCATTTTCACGGCCAAAAAGACCGATTTTGTTTATGCTTTATAAAAATCAGAGTACTTCTTTTAATAAAAATCTTGTGGAATTTGTTCCCAGAAACACATGATAAATACGTTATCAAATAATTTCCGAAGAAATGTATTTTTATTCATTTTAAAACATTTGGGATGTCATCGTTAATACAGAAACATAAGCATAAACAGAACTTACATTCATTTACACTAGTGATCTACATCTCTTTTAAATCTCTCAGTGTAATGTAACGTCATATCGATACCTGTGATACAAATAAACTGAGTGGGTCAGGTTGGGAAACCTGGTGAGTACATAGGGTTTTCAACCCACAATAATATAATTATTATGTTTAAACATCAAACAATCAACCCAATTACCCATCCCCATTATCTTCTTTACTCTTAAGGATCTACCCTAAGAATCAATTATTCCTCGTTCATTCATTCCTAAGGATCATTCTAAGGAATTGGCACGAAGTCCATCGTTGTCAATGACACATCTGTCAAGCACAGCTGCTAGTTCTATCACTTAGGCGCAGCTGCCAGAATTGTGACATTCTATGTGAGGCGCAGCTACCAGTATTGTCCTTCGAGCACAGCTGCTAGGGTTATCTCGTTTATTGACAGTATCGTTTTCGAGAGTCCACTTGCAATACATGTCAATGGGTTTTTAGAGTACACCGGTGAACACATCGTTCACAACACCTACAGGTTGCGAGCCTGCCAGTGTTCCACTGGACTGTCTAGAATAGTCTGTGGTTGTCATCCATACTCTGCTAGATGACGGGGCCATCATTTGGGAAAGGGTTCTCACATCGTCCACCTCTCACACTTACCTCGTGGTCTATAACACCTCTCAACTCATCATCCAACTCATATTCTATCTATTACATCTACCCATGTTTTACCCAACATATTCTCGTAGATATATATATATATATATATATATATATATATATATATATATATATATATATATATATATATATACAGTTTAAATCATTTAAAACATGTATAAAATCGTTCATCCAGCATAGATAGCAAGTATACAGATAATATGCACACATAACACGTAATTTATTTAAAATACTTTATATCTATGTGTAAGATGAAAGTAACTATGCACTCACTTGAAAAGGTGGTGAATCCGAACTCAGACAACGTTTCGCTTCTTAAAAATAATTTCCTTCGACGAAACCTAGTATTATTACCACTAGAGTTTAGTCTATTATTCGCCGAGACTAATTAATAGTCTAGCTATTATTACTATTATATAAGCGTTAAACAATACTTATATAACCCATAATAATAGCCCAAGTACTTATTATAAGTTCCTAATAACGTTACTATAATTAAATAAACGATATATTAAAAATAGCGTAGGCGTAGCTCACTTACAGCGGGTTTTATAGAAAACCGGGCTTTGCTTAGAGCAGCGTTCCCGAGCCGAAAAGCTCTTCTTCTCGGAGCCGTCGAGCACTCCGGGGCTTCCGCCTCGTGCTAGGGAGGTTCCCTAGGCTTTTCGGGGGGTTTTGGGGCTAGAGAGAGGTTCTAGAGAGAGAGAGTAAAGAGAAGAAAGAATGGGAAAGGTGTGAAGAAAATGAGGGTGTGAGAGGTTCTATTTATAGGGTGAAAAATGGCTGAACTTGGTGCCACATGTCACCATCTAGTGGCAAGACTTGGGGAGAAAGCAATGGCCAAGATTGTGCCACATCACCCATTTTCGCACAGCACACTTCCGACTTCTAAAATCTGTAACTTTCACATACGACCTCCGTTTTTACGTTCTTTACATCCACGCGTAGGTAAAAATAAGATCTACAACTTTCATTTTGACTCCGTCGGCTAATTCTCGACCGATCTTAAATTTAACAGTACGAGTAGATTATACTGTTAAATGTCCGCGTAAAATTCATAACTTCTACATACGGACTCCGTTTTCGTCTGTCTTTTTACCGTTGAGTTCCTATTAATGAGATCTTCAATTCTCCTTTAGGTCGCGTAGGCCAAAAACCGCTCGATCTAAAATTCGAGTTTCGGATCGTGCACTGCTATGTCAAATCTTAGAAAATTCATAACTTCCTCATACGAAGTCAGATTTGGGCGTACTTTTTTTTGTATGTTCTCGGTTTAACGTTTTCTACGACTTTCGTTTAGATCGCTAAGGCTAAAAGTCGCTCTATCGTAAATTCACTATTTACGTCTCCCGGTGCCGTGCCGGTTCTGCCGCAAAACTTCGACGAGTCATAACTTCTTCGTTATAACTCGGATTTCGGCGTTCTTTATATGTACGGAAACCTTGAGACGTATTCCAAAACTTGGTTAAGATTATTTATTCTAAATAATCTTTTGTTGAAAAGTCGTTTTCGACCCCTATTATCTCTAAATTGACTAGCCCGGATCTACTGGCGTTACAATATCTGTAGCACAAACCACGACCAATTTCAAGCCAGAACTGAAGCTACTCGTTCTCACCTTAGAGAGAATTGCACCGATCATTCAGGATACAATTAATATGAATCAGAAACTAGATCGACTAGAGGCAGAGTGGAAGATGTTAAGAGATGAAATGCAAAGAGCGATAAAACTTGTTAAGAAATGTTCCAAAGTAAAGTGGAATATCATCAAGAAATCAGCCTACCGACAAAAGTTAAAAGATGTCAACGGTAACTTGCTACGATTCTTTGAATTCGAAGTTCAAGCTTTGCAGAGTCGGAACATTAGGGAGACGCTTTTAGAGGTAAACAATGTAAAGCTGAAAATGGACAGTTTACCTTCGGATTTAACGAAAGATACCCGACTGAGAACAGGCGGGGTCCGTAATCCCAGTGGTTCTCTGTCGTCTTTATTCAGAACAGAACAATCGAGATGTGAAAACAGTTTAAGACAGAATTACAAAAATAGTCCCTATGGTTTACCCAAAGTTACGAATCTAGTCCCTAACTGCGTTAGTAAAAAGGGCCATCTGTGCAAGTTTTGCAAACCACAGGGGCCATTTGCATCAAAAGAAAATTAATAAGGACTGACTTTGTTACTTTTGGCAAACCACAGGGACCATTTTTGTAATTTTGTTCTTTTTTTTTTCGACACAAAGGGAAATATCACTTGTAGTTTTACGGAAATACCCTAAAACTTTGCCACTTTGGTAGGCAGAAGATGGCATTATTACCTCTAGGTGATTTTTTTTTCTTTTTATCACATTGTCACTATCTGTTCATACTTAGACTAAAGGGAGTGGGAGGCGCTAAGCCTCGCCACTGCCCTCGCTACTAGTTCGTTACTCCATCCCTTTGATTACGCTAAATGCCTCGCTAAGAAGAAGTCGCCAAGAAGCAAGCGAGAGGAGAGATAGATAAAGGGAAGAGCTGATTGGTTCTTTCCTTTTTTTTTTTTGTGATTCACTTGGCTCTTGCTTTCACAGTTTCAAATGTTAGAAAAAGGGTGAGATGAGTAATGTAGTCCATGTGTTCGACGAAATGTAGGGAAGGACAAGACACAAAAATCTGAATTTGACAGAAATGGCCTCCAATAATCCCAGACTTACACATCACACCCCTATCTTAGTTCCTCTCACAAACCAATTTTCTGAAATTACCAAAAAGACCTGCATCTAAATATTATACTTATTTTCATATAATTGATTTATATTATATTAATTGTTGGTGGTTTAAAAAAATAAAATTTGATTAATATTTGTACATAAAAAATATTTGTGTATTAAAATAAAATAATTTAATTAAATTATAAAAAAGAAAAAAAATAAAGTGCTAGGAGTGTTACCACTCCCTACTAAATGCTAAGACTAAATGCTAAACGGAAAAAGATGAGGTGGCAGTAAAACTAAATGTTAAGACTAAATACTAAACGGAAAAAGACGAGGTGGCAGTAAAAAAGCTGGCAAGGTACTAGGCTAGGCCAGGAGTGTTAGCAGCTTAGAAGGCGCGTCGACGCGGATCCCCTGTCAAGCTCAAGCTCTGTTTTGTTTCCAACATCTTCGTATCATAAAATCCATCCATCTCCTCTTCCTGTCCATTTTTATGCCGATTTCAGATTAAGCCACAAGAAATGGCTTTTTTGAAAGATCCTAATATTTCCCAATCCATCTCCACACTAGCTAATCTGGTAATATCTGTAGCACAAACCACGGCCAATTTCAAGCCAGAACTGAAGCTACTCGTTCTCACCTTAGAGAGAATTGCACCGATCATTCAGGATACAATTATTATGAATCAGAAACTAGATCGTCCAGAGGCAGAGTGGAAGATGTTAAGAGATGAAAAGAAAAGAGCGATAAAACTTGTTAAAAAATGTTCCAAAATAAAATGGAATATCATCAAGAAATCAGCCTACCGACAGAAGTTAAAAGATGTCAACGGTAACTTGCTACGATTCTTTGAATTCGAAGTTCAAGCATTCCAGAGTCGGGACATTAGGGCGGCGCTTTTAGATGTCAACGATGTAAAGCTGAAAATGGACAGTTTACCTTCGGATTTAATGAAAGATACCTGACTGAGAACAGGTGGGGTCCGTAATCCCAGTGGCTCTCTGTCGTCTTCATTCAGAACAGACCAATCGAGATGTGAAAACATTGAAAGAGAAAAGTATGGTTGGTGTGTTCCGGAACTTCCGAGTGGAATTGTAGCATTTGATGAGCAGTTGGAGAAGCTGAAGGCGGAGGTTGTTGCATGTATCAACGGTGGTGGTGATGGTAGCTCAATGGATTATGATTATCGTTCGCTGCTGGCGGATGTGGAAAGACTACTTTGGTGAAAATGCTGTGCCACGATCCTGGAATTGAAGGTGATCCATCACATTCGTGAATCATCTTTTAGGGTTTTTAAATATCGTCTCTTACATTCAACAGAAAAATTTGGGGAGAATATTTTCTTTGTGACAGTTTCAGAAACACCCAATTTGATGGTAATCGTGAATGATCTCTTTAATCCAAATTCCTCCGGCCTGCAAGTTGTGTTTGAAAGCAATGAAGATGCAAAAAACAAACTGGAGAGGTTTTTGGATGAGAACATATCAGGTCCTATGCTTCTAGTATTAGATGATGTGTGGTCTGATTCTTTCATTGAAAACTTTCCATCTACAAAAAGAGGATGCAAGATTCTGGTCACATCTAGGACTGCCTTTCCGAACTATGATGTATTCCAATTGGACCCTTTAAACGAGAAAGATGCTAAAACTCTCTTTTGCCACTCAGCATTTAATGAATGCGAATTGAGACCCAGTCGAATTATTGATGATAAGCTAGTGAATCAGGTAAGTTTTCTTCTCTTGTTTTTTTTCTTTTGCTACTTGGTTTTGGGACTAACTTGTTAGTGCATGTATTCCTTCCATGTAGATGGTAACATGTTGTAAGAAACATCCACTTACCCTTTCTGTCGTTGGCAGAGCCTTAAATGGGAAGGACGAGTCAGTATGGGAATCCATGCCAAGACAGTTATCTCAAGATGGTCCGGTTCTAGATTTAAACAAGGATGTAGTTATAGGTCTAGAAAGAAGCTTTGAGGCCTTGGATGGCGAATTCAAAGAATGTTTCTTGGATTTGGGGCTATTCCCAGAAGATCAGAGGATCCCTATTGAACATGTGGGTGCATTTGTACAACCATGATGATGATGGGGTGGACACCCTCGCCAAGATTTTTGAACTTAACCACAGAGATCTTGTCAATCTTAATCTTGTGACCACAGGGTATGTGAGTCACCCTACACTTGTTAATCCGAAATCTTTTGAATTTCATTGTTGTAGACTAATGTATCCTGGATTTATTTAGTTTTGGGAATGATTTAGGAGCAACGGTTACCTTTTGTGACCAGCAATTCGTGACACAACATGATTTGATGAAGGAACTTGCTATTCACTTGAATAACAAACTACCTTTAGCACAAAGGAGTAGATTGTTTATTGATGCACGAGGAGAAGATTTGCCTGCATCACTTGTAAAAATCCAAGAAGCTATGCAAGCCCGCATATTGTCCATTTCCACAGGTTTTTATTCTTTCATAAATTGTAATTATTTTAAAATGGAAGATGAGGAAGTGTGAGAGTTTGAATCTCAACGTCTTTTTATCAACCAATTGCAGGAGAGTCATTTTCCTCACAATTGTGTACAAGTGTGCAATTGGTTGATAAAAAGACGTTGAGATTCAAGTGTGCGCCTCAAGAAGCTGAGCATCACAAACTGCATCCAGATGAGTGGATTTCCAAAAGAATTTGGCAACTTGACGAATTTGGAAACACTGAGTCTTGGTTCTTGTATGAAACTGGAAAAGTTGCCAGAATCGATCTCGGGACTTCAGAAGCTAAGCATTCTTGACATTTCAGATTGTTTAAGGTTGAGCAAGTTGCATGAAATAGGAAAGCTAGGTGGTCTACGAGTGATTTACATGACAGGTTGTACAGGACTTCCTCCTGATCAGCTGCCACCATCTGTAAAGGATCTATCTCATACACATGTGGTATGCAATGAACAAATCTCTTATCAATGGCGGGAGTTTCGTAACATGGAGATACATCTGGTGGAAGAAGATTAAGATAATCTTGATTCTTGAAACCCTGAAAATCGTATGATAATCATCATTGGTCTTCATCTCAAGTTCCCCTCGTTGCTGCTGCTGTTTAGTTGACTGTATCTATCCTTCAAAACTCACCTAATAACATTTGCAACTTATATGCCATCTCTAATCTTCATGATTTTATTGATTTTCTTTTTCATAGTGTTTAAGAGTAGTTGTCTTGTAAACGAACCAAAACAAACCATTTGGTTTCTCCAACCTGTCAAAGTTGAGGTTAAGTTGAAAGCACTGTATTCGCAATTTAAGTTCTAGAGTCCTTGTACTCCAAGATAAAACATAAATATAAAGAAGTAGTCTTCTTTGACGATTTTTTGGATGGAGAAAAGGTTGATTTTAATTTAAAGTATGTTTGTTAGATTTTTTTTTTTACAAATAATACTGGTTACAATGATACAAAACTATAATAATACCAAAACAATGATAATAAGCATAAATAGTAATTATATATTACAACAAAATATCATATTTATATAATTTTTTTCAAAAACTCTTTAGATTTTCTATCAACTGTATTTTAAATAGTATTACAAAACATATAGTAAAACAGTATTATATATTATATATATTATTATAAAAACATCATTAAAGCGACACTAACTGAAATAATAAATATAAATAGACAATAAAATATTAAAAAGAATTGGATATTATATATTATACAGACGTATAATGTATTGATATAATATCAGCCGTGAAGGGCCGGCCCAAGTCATCGGAGGGCTACAAAATCTAATAGGTATCGACTTTTGTCACTTTTGACCAAACCTTTATCAAATGAAATAAAGTAAAAAAATTGGGTAAAAGAGAAAATGAAAATCTAAAAGAAATTGAAGGCAAAGGCGCAAAGCCGCGTGATTCCAGTTTTTGAGAAGATGAGGAGACCGAATTCATCTTTTGGTAACATGACCTCACCAGTCAACGCTCTCACTCCATCTCCCTCAGATCCTAGCAGACCGACTTGTATGCGTATGACTTTGACTTTCATTCTCTTCTTCTCTGATCTGACTCATCGCTGATGCCTCCTGCTGCTCTCTCAAATACTTTATACCTCTCACAATATCTCGTTTTATACCTCTCATAATATCTCGTCGTTGCTCTGGTTCCAGTCGTCTCCGACCACAACCACAAGGTTTCTTCTTCTCTCTTTCCTCTTTGTTGCTTTTATTTCATATATTTTGTTCCTTTGTGTTTGTTGTTTCATTGTATTTCATAGTTCGCATAAACAAAATGTTTTTCTGTTTTTGACTTTTAGTTTACTGACAAATTATTTTGCTTTGTTTAGATGATTAGTTCTATTGCTACTCATCAACTTCAGGTTAGTATGTTTGTTAGGGGTAGAAATGGAAAAAACAGTTAATTAAATTGAGCTAAATATAGCTGGGGAATCTTTGGTGGTGGAAGGGCATTTTGGGTAATTTACGTTTTATAATTAGAGGTTAGCCTATATGCTGGGAAAAAATTGGGGGGGGGGGGGGGATATCATCTTTTTCTGAAATCTACTCTTGTACCTTGGGAGAGAACTAGACTCTCAAATTTCTAGCAATCATCAAAGTTTCATTTTGTATGCACCAAAATCATTGAGTATTGAGTAATATTTCCCAGAGTGTTATTACACTGCTTTTCTTTGTTTTAATCTTTGTATTCACTATTCAGTGAATTCTTGTTGATCTTATTTGAGAGGGTGATTTCATAGCAAAATTGTTAAAGACTTCAGGATTATTCGACATATTTTTTAAAAGAGTTGGGATTTTTTTGCTTTACTTTATGTTACTTTTTAACACTTACCAAATTTTACATGTTTCATATTATTGACGTCATCTTGAAGAAGAAGGTGCTAAGTGTTATCGGTAGGTGGCAATGGGTTGACCTAGGTTGGGTTCTGGTTCAACCCATTTAATAATTGGATTGAAAATTTCAACCCAACCCAACCTGTTTATTTAAATGGGTTGATATTTCCAACCCAACCCAACCTTTTAGATAAATGGGTTGTCACCGGGTTGACTTGTTTATGTAGTTCTTGACCCAACCTATTAAATAAATGGGTTAAACTTGGGTTAACCCATTTAAAATCAATTAAATAAATTATATAATTAAATATTACTGTATACCACTTAAATTATAAAACATAAATAAAACGTCATAGTTATGAGTGACAAAAGCACAATCCTAATTCATAAATACAAATAAATTGTTCAAATAACATTAAAAATGTTTAGTTTCACAGTGATTTTGGAGAGTAACCAGTATTATCGGCGCTAAAAAAATGATGGAAATTAGGATTGAATTTTATTAAACATAGATAATAATAATGCAACATTATAATTTACAAATTAATACTTTGATTAATACATGATAATATTCAAATAATATCAAATTAAATATATATATTAAAGTTAAATGGGTTGATGGGTTGATAATTTTACCCAACCCAACCTATTTAATTAAATGGGTTAGACGGGTTGACCCATTTAAGTTAAATGGGTTGAAAATCTCAACCCAACCCGCTAATTTTGGGTTGGGTTGGCGGGTTGGGTCGATTTTTGCAGCTCTAATTGGTATGATTAGCAAACAAAAAAGAAACAAAAGCATATTCCAGATTTCATCATTCTATGCTTAAGTATTGTTTATTAACATTACAGTTTGAAATATTTGGAGCTCAAAATAGAAAACAAAAGAAATGACAACAGGACATTGTTAATTTCTAACAAGGATCTATAAATAAATGTTACATTCTAGGAGCTAATAAGTTTTTGTTTGTATGAATGAGCTTGCTAATAGAAAGTAACTGTCTTATATCTGTTTGTTGTAGTTCTATCATCTATGGTATAAAAATGGGCATATCTTTTCGTCCCGGGCATCAAATTCCTTAGGACGAGCCTGACATCAAGATAGCTTATTGGTGATCACTTGGTAATAAAACACTCCAAAATAGAGTTGACCGGATCTCACATACTTCAATCTCAGGTAGCCTGTAATATTACTCTCTAAAACTGTAAAACCAACAACATGCGTTTGAAAAATGTTAGGTTAAGCTTGGTATGTCATTTGTTGATCTCTTGGTGCACCTAAACAAAAAGAAATGACACATTATCCATTATTTAATTGGGGTAAAAAAAGACAAGACCACAAAAGGGAAGGTCATTTGTCAAAACTTGATGTGATTCTTATTTAAGTAGGTGTAGTTTTTTTTTAAGGTACGTTCAAGCTATTGCATACAACTTTTTCCATCGGTCATGGAACATTTTGATCACCTCAAAATTCGAATGGAAGACATAATATCTGCCACTGGAAACTTTAGTCACGACAGACTAATCGGACGTGGTGGGTTCGGTCCGGTGTACAAAGGAGAACTCTCACTTTCAACACCAACCATGGTAGCTTTCAAGCGCTTAGACCGTAGACTGGGTCAAGGGAACACTGAGTTTTGGAAGGAGATCACAATGCTTTCCGAATTAAAACATGCAAATCTAGTTTCTCTCATGCACTTTTGCATTCAGGGCGATGAGAGAGTCCTTGTGTACGAATATGCCTCTCGTGGAAGCCTTGATCGCTATATAAGTGATGTTAGTCTTACATGGACTCAACGCCTTGATATATGCCTTCAGGCTGCACGTGCGCTAAGGTACCTTCATGATCCAAAGAAACCTCAAGGAAGAGTTCTCCATCGTGATATTAAAAGCTCCAACATCCTTTTGGATGACAAGTGGACTCCTAAAGTTTCTGATTTTAGGTTGTCAAAGATTGGCGTATCAAACCAACCACACACTGTTGTTGTCTCCAATCCCGTTGGCACAGTTGGATATTGTGATCCGTTGTATTGGGAAATGGGCTTTCTATCAAAAGAGTCTGACGTGTATTCCTTTGGAGTGGTGCTCTTTGAAGTAATGTGCGGAAGTTTATGTACCGAGTATCGTAATGATAAACATACAAGTTTAGTAAGTTGGTGGAAAAAATGTTGTGATGAAAAGAAATTAGATGGTATTATCTTTCAACATATAAAGGAAGAAATAGAATGGGATTCTTTGATAACCTTTTCAACCATCGCCAATCAATGTACAAGTAGAGAGCGTAAAGAACGACCAACAATGGAAGAGATTGTGGAAGAACTTCAGATTGCACATGAACAACAGGTAATTAAGCATCTCATATTCTGTTTTTCAGAGAATACAAATCCTAAAACAAAATATTTCTGCAGAATATCAATAGCAACGTCCCTCTAATCGAGATGTCAGAGCGTGCTGTACCTCCACTATCCTACACATCCCAAAAGGAACTCATATCACTTCTTTCCAAAGGGATCCTTGTTGATGAGGGCAAAAGGGTAATTAACTATATATATGTATATATATATATATATATATATATATATATATATATATATTAAAGGACATGGGAAGTTTCAACAGAAACTTCTCCCATTTATAATTTTACCACTTTACTATTACTTCTTTATAATTTTGCCACTAAAGTTTCAACAAACTTTTCCTCTTTACAATTTTGCCACTTTATTTTTAATTCTTTATATTTTTGCCACTAAACTTTCACTTTTACTTATTTACAACCCTTTTTCTTCACTTCTTTATAGTTTTCTCACTAAAGTTTCAACAAACTTTTCCTCTTTATAATTTTGCCACTTTATTTTCAATTCTTTATATTTTTGCCACTAAACTTTCACTTTTGTTTCTTTACAACCCTTTTTCTTTATTCTTTATCGTTTTTGTCTACCGTATTCTTCTATCATTTTTTTTTTCTAAAAAGATTCAGTTGTGACTTTTCTTAGATGTTTTTTTTTTCTCAAAAGTGCTCTGTTTCTTTAGTCCATTTACAGTCCTATTTTTCAACATTATTCTATTTTGATATTTTTTTTTCTTCTATTATCAAACCGAACTTTTTAACATTCAGACTTTCGTCACATATTTTCTAAAAAGTTGCCAAATTCAATCAATTTTCTTTATTCTTTGTAATTTTCGTCTATTATATTCTTCTACACTTTATTTTATTCTTTAAAAGAATGACCGGTGCAACGCACGGGCCTTTTCCTAGTTTGTATCATGTGATGTGTTCTTTCCAAGCAAAACATAGTTTATTGGAAGCTTTGTCACAGTTTCATATGATGACAAATAACATTTAGGATGCTTGTAATATAAAATACGAGTTTAAACAAACATATTAATGTGTTGTAAAGTCTCTCTCTCTCTCTCTCTCTCTCTCTCTCTCTTAATAAATTGCATGCTAATGGGTGTCAAATCAAAGTTTTCTTTTCTCAAACTAGCTCGACCATGAAAGAAGATATACTCCATCATTCATTTAAGGTTTTTTTTTTTTTTTTTTCAATAACCTTTGTCAAAGAAAGTCATATATCCGAGTCATCACTAAATTTACAGGTATTTTACTACTACATATATATAATTGATTACTAAAAGTAGAAAACTAAAGGCTGGTTAGGTTGATGCCTATTTGTTTAAGTTGTGTACCTTTTATGCAGTTAACGTTTGGATTTCATTAAACGAAATTTTACTTTCATACTAAACTGAATATGTTTATTTGGCAGTGGGTTACAATAAATAAAAACAAACAATTTCATGAAATGATATCTGCAGCAGAATGTATACATGGAGGGAGGTTTATTTGTCGCAGTGATGATTATTCAAGGTTAGTGACTTCTCTTAGTGAATGAGTATGTATATGCTGATTGGATATTTGGATTTAGTAAGATCTTTAAGAGTTTCATGCATCATCTATGAACACATCATATGTTAAATCCCTTATTTTTTTACTCTGTTTTAAATTAATAATAACTATTATTATTATCATTATTAGTTTGTTATTATATAATTAATAATTAATGTTCGTATTAATATCATTCTTCTGTTTTATTATATTACTAGGTTATAACCCGTGTTCCACACGGTTAACAAATTAAAATTACCTAGATAAAAACAAAAACATGGCCATTAATCATAATTTTACAAATACTTGTGGTGATATTTTATAGCAACATACTTCCATTCAAATGTGTGAAATACCATCTTACTTTGGTAGTTGGAGCTTCTATTGTGCTATATGTTTTGATTCATTTCTAAGTCCTAGGTACTTGATATATTTGTTTCCATCATCACTAACAGTTGTAGCTTATCTATCCTAACCCAATAAGGCATTCATGTAGTCTTGATGCGGTTGATAATTGGAAACAAATGTCTTAAATATAGTAACCTGCATTTAAATCATTATCCTATGTGCTCTAATGGAAAACAAAAGATTGTGGAAACACAAATTGCTTTACAAATGATGTAAATGCAAATAGATGTTACCTAGCCGCAATTAAAACAACAGTCATAGTTTTTCCTATTTTTGTTATGTATTGGACATCTTAGCAATAAAAACCATTGGTTCTCAAAGCATTCATGACTTATCTACAGTATGTTAATGAAAAGAGTCATGACTTCAATGATAAGATTAATAGATGACAGATGAAAATAAAAAATGATAAAAGTAAAGTTACCTATCCCAATGGTCATTATAGTATTGTGTTAGAACAAACATAAGTTGAAATCCTTAAAGTAATTATAAACAACAGTCACTTATCCAACTATTGGCACTAATCTCTACTGTGAAATACATATTTCTAACGTTAAAAAGAGAAAGTACTAACCTACTTGCGTGAATGGTCCTTATTTAAATATGTCTACATAAATGGTCCCTATGTGAAAATAATTAGTCACATAGAGGTCTTAATTTCTCTTTGCATAATTTCTCTTTGCATAAAAGTAAAGCATAAATGGAAATAAAAATAAAAGTATGATGCAATATTAGATACCAAAATGAAAGTACATTGCTATTTTTTGTAAATTAACATTTGGTGGTGATAATGTCATAATGAAGCTTTCATTGAGTTATGAAATTAACTATCTTCTAAAAATTAACTTTTTTTTTTTTTGTAATATAGCATCTACCTTCGAGTTCTAAAAAAATAGTTTGCATGAATGATTGAATGGTCCGTATTTAAATAAATTAACATAAATGGTATTGTACAAAAGTAATGCATAAATGGAAAAACAAAAATAAATGTATGATGTTATATTAGACAAAAAATGAAAATATATTGTCATTTTTTAAAAATTAACTTTTCATGTTTTATCATGAATCATCTATGAACACATCATATGTAAAATCCACTAAGGAATGAATGGTGCATTTCTCATGGAATGAGATTCTTTCTCCCGGCTTGGTTTTCATTCCATTGAGGAGGGGTGTTTTTTTTTTTTTTTTTTTTTTTTTTTCGAAATGGGATGATATATACTATAGTTATAAATTATGCTTATTCATATAATCTACAATTTTATATTGATCTTTATAAAGTTTTTAAAACTTCAATTAAGTATTTAAAAAAAAAAGTATTTTTAGTTATAATTGTAGTTAAAGATTTCATGGTATCGAGTTATTTTATTTTATAAATTTTTTTGATTCATAGATAATTCTCTTTTAACTTTTTGCGAAACATCAATTTGTATTTTGAGCGAAATGAAATATGCTTATTTGTAGTTTATTTGATTATTTATCTCTATTAAATTAATGTTTTTTTTATATAAAATAACATTATTTTTCTGTATCTGTCAGTTTTATTTTATTTAGGTTTCTTTTTATTAATAACAAACAACATGTTTGAATAACTCATCGTCTCATTCCATTCCATGGAAAACAGCCCTCCCTCATGGAATGAAAATCAGTCAGGAGAAGCAATCACATTGCTTAAGGAATGCTTTATTCCACACCTTTGTAGCAAACATTACAAACAAGATTTTTTTTCATTCTACCATAGTGCTCTATTCTATTCCTTCTTTAACTACTGCATACGAAACACTACCATAATGCTCCATTCCATTCCCTCTTTAATTATTTAAATACATGTGATTGCGATATCTGCAGGTTCTCAAATATTTTCATTTCATTTTCCTCTGATTTCAAAGTAGAAGTGAGGACTCGATTCTTGTCACCACATGTAGCTTACACCATAAACCTTGTCTTCAAACATGAAATTAACAAGCATGGGATATATGTACCCTTCTTATACAAATTGGAAGAGGAGACACATTATTCAAAGTCACACGCTGTGCAATTGAGAAAAGATGGGTGGCTAATGGCTGAATTATATCGGTTTACTAGTTACAGAGAGGAACATGAATTCAAAATTGAGTTCTTACAATTTGCTATTACAAGTCGTTGGCGTCATTTAGAAGGCATTGAATTTCGACCCGTGGAGCATGTAAGTTGTTGACAAAATGCATTAGGTTTTATCTGTTATTACCCAAGTTTATTATAGTTTCAAGTTTTAGCTTTTTTTCAAAATTATACCCTGAACAGTGGCGGATCCAGAACCAAATCTAACCGGGGTCCAAAAAATACAAAAAATTATAAAATTCTGAAAATGTAATGTATTTTTGGGTTTTTGAAGTAAAAAAAAATGTCAATGAGGGTATTTAATGTAAAAGTGGGTGCCAAAGAGGGTTTTTTTTGTAAAACTTGGATTTTTGGAAGACTATTTAGTAGTAAAAATTGTGGGGCCCACCTCCAAGTGGGGTCCATGCACCCCACTTAAAGGGGCTAGATCCGCTACTGACCCTGAATACCTATACATTTTGGAGTGAAATAAAGGTCATCAGATAATGTAAATACACAAATCAAGATAATGAAATTTACATCAATATAAGGCTTTATATGTGTAATTAATAGGAACTATTTTCCTTATAATGTGATTTAATTGAATTTAACACAAGTATACATGGAGATCGAAAGGGCAAACATATGAGGCGAAGATCTGGTTTGGACACCGAGTTGGAACAAAAGATGACACTAGATTATATGGATTTAATCAAGTTGTCAAAAGATAATTTACAGTGGACAACTAAGAAGGATTTATACTTTCTTCTTCGCAAAGGCTTTCTTATCCACGAGGGTGAAAAGGTATCTTTCTATTCTATAAGTGCTTGAAATATTGTTTCTTTAACGATCATAATTAAATTAAGAAACAAACTAACGAGAAACTAGAGAAACAAAGAGTTACATATTAGCTAGAGGGGTTACAACACAAATTAATCCACCTAAGTTTCTATTCTTTAGTCTATTAATCAACAATAACGTCACTTGAACCTCATCTACCAAGAGCGGAGTAAAGAGATGTCGTTGGAATGAACTCTCATGTTCCTAGAATTCGATTCGACCATTTAAAGAAAATATCACAACCTCTTTAAGTGCTTTTTGGATGTTTGGTGAAACCTATGTGACGAGAGACGGAGAACAAATCCTCAATATAAATCATCGGAGGAAACAACACACCTAACCAAACCAAACCATCTGAATAAAGAAATCCAAAAATCTTTAATAATAGGGCAACGTATGAAGTGATGGACTTTGGTCTCGTCATGGACATTTCATGGGCAACCAATAAAAGAAATAAAACCACACATTTTTTCAAGATCGACCCTTGTAGGGAACGCTCTAGCCACTCTCTATAAATAGTTGTTGACTTTTCCCATAATTGGCTTATTCCATCTAAACTCTCTCCCTCTTTGCTTTAACAAGAAACCGTTATTTGTAATATTTAAGAGATAAAATTGAAAAAAACGCCAGAAGTATTCAAAGCCTAACTTTCGAAAGTAAAAAACGTATTACATAGATTAGAGAGCGACGTTAAATCTTCCATCTCTTGATCACTCAAGGCATTCTCCATTTCTATTTATGACACCCCTATCATTTTTGCATGGCGTCTAGCTTACCGAAGAACTATGATTCACATGCAAAGCAAAAAGTCTAGGGAAGTGAGAATCCAACACACATGCCATATTTTAGTCCAAAAGTCTAATGCTATCTCCTTTACCCACTAATCTAGAAAATAAATCAAAAAACAATATATTAAAATCCTTTATAGTTTTCGTTAAACTCAAGATATAACCCCACATTCTACCTTTAACGACATGTTTGAGTTCATACCAAATCATAAACCATGAATAGCGGCAATAACATCTTTCTATATTGCATCATTCTTCGTACAAATTCTCCACCACCATTTCCCTTAAAACATGAGATTTTTAGCATGAAGACTATCAATACCAGGTTTTTTTTCTTTATCGACGAGCATTTTTGTCATTAGACCGAAGCCATTTAATTGCAAGTCGACCCTTCCCGAAAGATCTCTAACTGAATACTTGCCAAGTCTTTAATAACATTGATGGATGTTTTGAAGAACGAAGAAAAAGTAAATCCTTAGGCTGCCTAAGACTGCTTTAGAGAACCATTAACAAGCATCACCCCTTTTTCCACCTTAAGCTCCAGCTTTAGAGAACCATTAACAAGCATCAAGGACCTTCCCGAAGAAAGGCTTTCTCAAGATATCCCTCATTAAGATTATTGAAGCTTTCTATCTTTCGGAAAAAAAGAGTATTGAAGCTTTCTCAAGGTTTGTTTTTAAGATGAGAAATTTACACTTGGATTTTTTAGCCTACAACACCACTTCTTTAGCCATCAATGGATTATAAAAAATGTTACGGTCCAATAAGAAGCTAGATTGTTTTTACAAATTCACGTAGCTAATGACCAATTTAAAATGATAAGCTAGTTTTCTTGGCTATAGTTTTGATTAAGACATCCGCTTTTACAAATTTATGTAGATGATGTTTTCTAGTTACGCATTGCTCCACAGTCACGCTTTTTTTAAACCAAGGCACAACACATACATGTTTATTACATTACAAAAAATTGATGCCTAGATGATTGGACTGAATGGCTATTTACAAGCAACAAGAACCAAAGGATAACTTCAAACAGATTCCTGATTAATAATCCAAAAATTGTCTAACAAATAAAAGAATCGAAATACTTATAAGGAGGAGAAGAGAAGCTTCCTTCCTTAACCATAGGAGATAAGAATTGATTAGGATAAGATTCGAAATTAAAAAAAAATAAGTTTTTGAAATCAATTATCTAAATCAAATCTCAAAAAAAGAAGTTTTCAAACATAAAAGAATAGGAAAACACAATTTTGAGGTTCTAAACGGATACAAATGGTTGAAAAACACCACACATCATGCCAAAGACATAAGTTTTTTTTAATCGGCTCATATTATATGTGTGTGAATTTCGTCCAATTCCGAGCTGTCAAATCACTTCGGCATATTTGTTGATGATGTAATCACTCTTCCATTCCTACTAGTGTTTGGCATCATCAAGCCATGCATTATCACTTGTACCACATGCATCATCCACCACCTCTTGAAAAGGACTCGTCCTCGAGTCTACTTCATCATCAAAATCCCCATGAAAGGTGACAATTTGCAACATTGAACGTAGCTGACACGTTGTAATGGCCTGACAACTTGATCTTGTAAGCATTGGCTTTGATTTTCTTCAAAAATACGAAAAGGACCATCAGTCCTAGGGTGGAGCTTACTAAAGTGTATGTTCGACAATTTCTCTTGCCTCAAATATATCCACACATCACTTTCTCGATAAACAACCTACTTGTGATGTTTATTAGCACAATCAACATATTGTTTGTTATGCTTCTCAATCTGCATGCAAACGTGCTAGTGAAGCTTTTTAATTTGACTCGACTCCTCGTCACCACCTTCAACACTAAAATGATCAACAATAGTTAGAGATACATTATCTTAAATGGGATCTTGCTCGTAGTTCGTTTAATTGATCGATTATAAGCAAATTCTCTCTGTGGAAGAGTGAGATCACACTGTGTAGGACCGTCGCAAATTAAGTTTCCTTATAAATTTCTCAAACTATGATTCACAACTTCGGTTTGATCATCAGTTTGTAAATGGTGAGAACTTGAACTGCAACTTTGATGTCTACAAGGTACACCAAAAGTGGCTCATAGACTTTACATCTTGATTAGAAGTAAGTGTCTTAGGAATGCCATGCAACTTGACAATCTCTACAAAGTATATACGAGCCACTTGACACTTGGAGGAGGGCACAAAATATCCATTTTTGAATATCACATCTTCCCACAGAGCGGTAGGGACGGGAAGAGGGTTTACAACCCGACGTTGCTTCCATAAGTTTTGGTCAAATGACAAACACGATAGCTTCCATTGTTTCTTCACATGATCTGACCAAAGAAAGAGTGGCATGTTTCCTCATTCTGATGGCTGCCACTTTCACCTTAAAGTGTTCCGATATGTCTCGTAGATTAAACACCTGCTCAATGGTGCTTAACCATTCACTGAATTTGTCAGTTTAGCATGCTCGTGAACTTAAAGAATCTCAACCTTCACACAGTATTCCTCAACGAATCACCATGATATCCTCTCTCACAGCGATCTCGTCTTGGCCCGCTAAAATGATTAACCTCCTTGTAGTTGTTACCCCGGACGCTTGGTTTTGATTCAGTCTCTTCATCCGACGAGTCTTAATGCAACAACCCGAGTTCTTGTATTCGTCGTTGCAAGAATTCGATCTCTATGTCATGTGGATCATGCATATCAGCTCTGTCATTCCATGGATCACGTCCACCATCGCGACAATTGCTCTAATACCAAATGATTCCTATACAATCGGATTATGACCAATTACAAGCAACGAGGACACACAAAGAACAAAGATAACTCCAAACGGATTCTGAATTGATAATCGCAAAATTGTACAAAGGAAACAAAATTCTTATGAGGAGAAGATAATCTTCCTTCCTTCAACCCTAGGAAATCAGAATTAATTAGGATAAGGTTCCTAATTAATTATCTAAATCTAATATGAAAAAATAAAGTTTACGAGAAAAAAAAACAGAAAAATGCAATTTTGAGTTCTTAAACTATCCTGAATTGCCAAAAAAACACCGCACGTCATGGAAAAGGGATGAGTTTTCTTAATCAGCTAATTTTACATGTCGTATGTGAATTTCGTCCAATTCCGAGCTGTCGGATCACATCGGCGGATTTGTTGCTGATGTCATTACATTTCCATTCCTACTAGTACTGACATTGTCAAGTCATGCATTAGCATTTGTTCCATCTGCATCAAAAATATTACCCACTGTCCACGTTCCCTTTGTAACTAAAAAAGCCATTCTTATTACAAATCAACGATATCGAGAAAAAGGTAACCACCGAAGGAAAGGACAAGTACTGAATTTCATCTGCTCAGCCTTGCTTCCGTCTCTCCACTTTCTTTCACTCCGATACCTAGTTTTCGTTTTTCATGCTTGAAATGTTGTAATAGTTGATCTTTAAAGATACATATCATCACATTCATGAAGTATATCTTAATGATTAATATAATTTACAAAAGTTTTGTCCCTTTATTATCTAACTAGAATTTTGATAATTGTTTACATTGATCAGTGGATTTCTATTAGCAAAAATATGAAGAAACGTCTAATGATATCTGCTAGATCCATTCTGATAGAGCGCGACTGGATATGGAAGTCTCAACCAGAATCAAGGTTTTCACTCTTTTTCTCAACAACTTTGTTTAGTTTAATAATACTTGATCATACCAGGTAATGGTGCAAGTTGTACAAATTGATGATGATCCTTATTAATTAAAAGGGGTATTAAATTGAATAATGTGCATGCCATATCAATTTCTTATTTACAGGACTCCAAAATGTTCACGAAAGAAGTTTGCTATTCATTTTAAAGTCGGGTATAGTTAGTATACATTATGTTTTACCATATAATAAAGCATGCATGGTTGTCTCAAACAACCGAAATTACCATTTTGTTGTATTAGAAAGTTACAAAGAGAATGTGAAAATGTTTACGCATACTACATACAATCCCATGTGTGGTATGCTTCATCATGCTATTCTAGAATTTATAAACATTCATATATTTTTTACTATTCTACAGATTCGAAGTGGTAGCTGAGTCTCTTGACAATCACAAGTTGACCATTGATTTTCAAATCAAATCGGAATCGTTGACCCTTGAGACAAGTTATTCTTGTCATCTCATATACAGACTACCAGAACAATATTCTTTGCTTGAGGATTACATAACATTTCGGAGTACGGGATCAATTAATTATGTTCAATCTTTCTATTTAGTCCATGCTCCTCCAAGCCCTATTATCCGATCCATAGCTGATGAAAAGTACGACTTGCCATCACACTCCCGCAAAATAAAAGGTTATCCGAAAATGAGGAAGGATGGTTGGATGGACCTTACATTGTGTGAAGTTTCAACCAAAGACACAGAAGTTATTAAAATGCGTCTTGAATGTCGTGGATCTAAAGTTACACAGTTTGTTGGCCTTGTTATTCAAGGGATAGAGTTTAAGCCGTTGTAAATGCCATTTTCTCTTCGTTATTCATGTTGTGTTAACAATATTACCAATGGAAAGAAATTAAGTAAGGTCCCCTATATTATTATTTAATAAGGAGTTTATTTTTGATTTTTTGTGAACAGTAGTTATATCTAACCATCACTACTAGGAAAACCGAAATATTGACAATCTTTTTATCAACAAACTGAATTCTGTTGCTAAATATCAACATATCAATGTCTTTAGCTACAAAGGTAGACGAGCTAAATTTCAATTCAACAATGAATAATCCAATGGTAAAATGGTATCTATATATTGAAATTTTGGAGGGAAAAGTATTCAAGGTGTGAAAATTACAACTAAGAGATTTAAATGTTGTTTAAATGTAAAACCAGGTGTTAATATGAAAACGAGGACGACAATTCAATATGGAAATTTCCCTACGTAAGAATTAAGATATGTTGAGAAAATTGAATAAAAAGTTCACCATATGGGTAACACTTGAATTTTAGCAACTTTTGCGGCGAAGATGTGAAAATAGAAAGTTGAGACATGATAATCATATTAGGAGGTTTTAGTGAAGTGATACATTAGAGAAATTCAAAGGTGAAATTAGATGTGTGGTAAAGAGAAGCATTGAATCCATAAATTTAATCTCACAAGGAAAAACACATCCCCATTTTACTCACGTTTGAGTTTTGGATCGAACAATTATGAAATCACGATTGGATTTCAAAATTATATTTTGATTAGTGTTAGAACGATGACTCTAATGCTTAAGTCCCTCCCTAGCATGTACCACTCAAATTAGTTCTTAGGCTCCAAGGTGTGGTGCGGGAAAGGGTGAGGGGAGCCGGAACCACACCCTACTACACTACACCGGGGGTGCAGTTTAGGCAGTGCAGGGAAAGTGTGAGGGGAGGGTACACCGCCCTCTCTTTCCTCATGTGATTGGTCGGCTCTATTTTATATATTTTCTTTATTGTTTTTAGTTTTTAATATATATATTATATATATATATATATATATATATATATATATATATATATATATATATATATATATATATATATATATAGGTAGAAGTTCATTTGAGACCACCTATATTTTGTGAGACATAGGGACCAAATCTTAGTCATTGATCAAATTTGATCTTGTGGTTCAAAAAAAACCCTGATTAAAGCGCTTAATTAAACACTCAAGGGTAGATTAGTCAGCTTTTAATCATATAATGAAATCCCCTGATTTACATGATCTTTCCTTAATCAACGTAACAAAATCAGATTCGCTCTTTCATCCGTTGATTTCCTCATATGGTTTTCTCAACCGCAACAATATTTTGATTGAATGAGAAGCAAAAAACTTGAGTTTTGTACGTTAATTGTCACTCACGCTGCGATGATTTGTGATTTTACAGGCTTATTGAAAGAGATTTCAACAATTGATCAGTAGTTCACATCGATTTCAAGCTTTCACGAGCGACTGATCATCAGTTGATATCTTCGATTGAGATCGTTTTCAGCAATTGGAGGTTTCATCGGAATCAGATCTTATCCCATTCATTTGATGATTTTCAACTTCAGAACTAGATTGAAATTGATTTTTCACCAAAATACGCTTTCATCAAGTTACATAAACCGATGTTAGCAATTGATCATAAGATTCATATCGCTTTCAGCATTTTCAAGCTTCGATTTAGCTTCCTGGTAAGCGCTTTCAACTATTCATCATCATCGTCATCAGACCGAGATCGATTTTCAGCCCCTTCAAGCTTTGATTTTTACTCCTAGATCTTAAATTTTCAATCTAATAATGTATATACAAAACAGTTACTGTTCTCTAGCAAATTCTCTTAAACTATACATGCATTCTATGTGTTTGATGAAAATCCTGAATGAACAAAGAGTTTGATGTATCATTCCTCTTTCCCACGACTAATGTCTTCTTTAAGAATTGGAGTATACTTCTTAAAATATGAGTCACAATTGGTATAAAACAATGTAATGTTAACTACTTTTATTATATTTACCATAGTTTTGTTATAACATGTTTTTTTTTGTCAAACATAAAAATACTGGAGATGTCTTTTTAGCATAGTTTGGTTTGAATATGCTCTTGTTAAGTTGCAGAAAAGGATTGTGCTAAAGAAAAGACTATATGCTCTTAAATTTACCATATGTAAATTCAGGTGCATGATATACATCAGATGTTTTTAGAATATGATCATTATTATAGTTTTTTTAAATTTTTTTTTCCATCAAACACAAAAGGTTGGATGTCTCTTTTAGCAATGTTTATTATTCTTATTAATGTGCAGTAAGGGGATGTACTAAGAAAGATTATTAAATTCAGAGTATTTTTTGTCAGTGTTTACATTGTGTCTTGTATGATTAATTACATTACATAATACATTATTATGATGTATAATCACTCATAGACTTCATTTTCAGATCTTTGATTGTATCCATACTTGATTCTAACAATTATTTCATTTATGGTTGCAGATAGTTGTAACTGATGAAGCTCAACTTGAAAGGAACTTGAATATTTCAAGCTATAAGTTTTCAACTACACGTGTCAAAATTAATAAATATGTAATAGATTTTATATGTCACAAACATGTAATATTTTTTATGGCTTTTGGTGCATTGTTATTTGACTATAACTTTGTAAGACCCTTTTGAGATTATTCATATTCATCCCTTTATCTAACATGACAACCCAATGATCGAGTTTTATGGTTTTCAAATTATCAGTGTTTATCTAATCATTGGGATTCTTTGTTTTAGTTTCATCCACTATGTTGGCTTTTGATACTGTTATTTTATTCGATTCATTTGAATAAACAAAATTAATGTAATATATTTAGAATTCAACTATAATATGAAAATTATACCATAATAAACAACACATTAATCATTAAACTAACAATATCCTTGTAACTTTAATTTTTAATTTTAGAATATTACGTATTCTAATATCAGAATATGAACGTAATTTAAAAATATGACACATACTTTAAGAATATGAAAAATAATTTCAAAATATTTCACATTACTTAACTGTTAATCAAGTACTCTCACAATATTTCACAAAAGATATTCAAACCAAGTTGTTTTCAACAAAAAACAGACTATCTAAAATCATATATTACATATTATATAACAAAAACGTTAGAAGCAAGTTGTTTCCAATAAAACCAGAATATCTAAAATGATAACATGACACATATTTTCATAATATTTCACATTACCTTACAGTATGTCAAGTGCTATCACAATATTACACATTACTTTAGTGAAAGAATTAAAGCAAGTAGTTTCTAACAGAATAACATCTAATATAAAAAAGCAACAAATGACTCGTCAAATCATATGTGTATAATATCAAGTTATCAAGTAGAAATTTATAATATTAGAATCCTTACATAGCATAATTACATATTACACATTACAAAATATTATAATAATAGACTTTAATATCAGAATATTGCACACAATTTCGAAATATTACATCTTAACAAACTAATATTAAATATGGAACATTTAGAATAACTAGAATAATAACATATCAATAAGTATTAGAAAACCCAAATTTTAATTAGGTATTATTCTATCAGAATACTCTACATGTAACTTATAATATCCTACAACATTATTTTGTTAGAATATTCTAAATATAAGTTTTGAAAATAGATAACATATAACATTATTCTACTAGAATATTTTACATATACACATTATTTTCACTTAATATATCAACTTATTTAATTGAAAACATAGAACATTATTCTATTAGAATATTCTAGTTATACACTTATAAGAACAAACAACATATAATATTAGAATACTAGACTATTATACATCTGTGTATTATAACATAAAACATATAAATATTACCCTAACATAATATTCATAGTAATCAACTTAAAACAAATCAGCTTTTACAAATTAGAATATTCTAATTGTAATATTATAGTTCTATACAAGTTACCGATCAAACTATAACATTATTTCGTAAAAATATTCTATATGTACATACAACATATTTTATTCTTTTAGAATATTCTAATTTTATACATGTTTGCAGTTAGCCTATAATTTTTGATAGCAAATAACACATAACATTATTCTATTAAAATAACATACATCTCCTTTTTATAATGACAAACATAGAATATTATTTTATTATAATATTGTACATACAAACTTTAATTTTAAGCTTATCTAGTATGTGAAAGATATTACTAACATTATACGACATTAACTACAAATTTCATGTATTATTATTTATAGCATAACTGTTCTTGAACCATAATATCATTTTTATTAAACATTCACCAATATTTAAACCTTCAGACCATAACTACTGTTTACCAAAGATTCAACTGTTCATGTTGTTCAAAATATAGAAAACATAGCTGCAATTCAAAAAAAGGAAAATCTATATTTATTAACCATTAAACACTTCTAAATATTTTATCAATTCAACAGTCGTCATTCCATTTCTTCCCTTTTTGCTCCAAGTTAAGATGTTTTGCTTGATCACATTTTCCAAACTCCAAAAGAATTATTATACATGAACATTATTCCAAAAGAATTATTATACATGAACATACAACCTATAAAATTATTCTATCAGAATATTCTATATACATAGTAAATAAGTCTTATTAACATTACATATATCTATAAATTATAATATCATTTTTTTTTGTAAAAAGGTCATTACATATAAATCTATAAAAACCAACAAAATTTAACACTATTCTAATAGAATGTTCGAAATGTCAATTTTTTTGAGACCGTAAGACCATGAGACCACTTATCTCTAGTGAAATATTCTAATATTTCAGTGTTCATAAAAATATAATATATGTAATATTCTAATATTCTAAAACATAGAACATTATTCAAATAAAATTATTATATATGAACATACAACCTATAAACTTATTCTATTAGAATATTCCTCATATACACAGTAAGTAAGTTTTATTAACATTACATATATCTATAAATTCTAAAATATTATTGTAAAAAGGTCAT